GAAAAAGTGCTTCTGGTGAGCTTTTCCGGGTAGAAAGCGGCGTTTGGGTGCTGAAAGAATCCTCGCGCCTTAGTTTCATCGAGGGGGGGGGCGGCTTCAAACAAAACTAAGGTGCGAGGATTCTTTCAGCATGCATGGCAAGGCGAGCCGAGCGACCATCCCGAAGCCCATCGACACAGGTACAAAGGAGGAGTTGAAGGTGGCGGGGACAAGCAGGGGACGGCTGGCCGGCCGGTCGCTCGGCTCGCCTTGCCATGCGTGCTGATGCCGGTACCAGGCCGCAGATGATTTTGTGATGCCGGTACCGGGCCGCAGCACAAAAAAGGTTGGGGGCCACTGCTCCAGATGGTGGAGAGGAAGAAGTAGAAGTTGAAGAACCAGGAGCTGTAAATTTCCTACTCATTTTAAGCAATTCAAAATCTTCAGGTTCTTCTAAACCTTAATCCAATTGTGAAATAACTAATTGTAGTTCGAAATAAAAATAGTAGAAAAAAGAAGCCAAATAGTAATGATAAAAAAAAAAAGGGAGGACAAAATTTCTTCAGGTTCTTGTATACCTTAATCCAATCAGAAGTTAGATGAAGAAAAAGGCTTTTTAAAAAAAGGAAAAATTCTTCAGGTTCTTCAACACCTTAATCCAATTGAGAGGTCTCAAATAGAAAAGAGTGCATAAAAATAAACCAGAAAGGTAGATGAAAAAACAAAAATACCAGGAAAAGAGAAAAAAAGGCTATTCCCTTTAAAAAAAGGAAACATTAATACTAAAGCTTTCCCTTTAAAATAAAAAGCAAGCGTAGAGATTGGACTAACTAATGATGATTTTGTCAATGCAATTTACTAAAGGTGGTTTTGTTCAAGTAGTGCTTCAGATGTTTTGGGATTGCACCCAAGGTATCTATTATTTTTGCTTTCTTTTGCCACAGCCATTCTACTTCTATTTGCAGTAGAATAAACATATCCTTCTATTTTGTGAATTTCTTCAGTTATTTCTTGTTTATTGTGCTCTCTCCAGGTACTGCCACCTCCACTGTGCAGATTTTTCTGTCTTTCTTATGCATTAAATCTGGGATGTTTTGTGGCAGGTGCTTGTTTGTTTGCATTCTAATTTATTCAATTTCTGTTGCCGCCCATCTCAAGCAAGTGATTTTATATGCTACTTGATTCCTGCTGACTCTAATGGGCTTAGAGACCTGAGACCACCTTTAATTGCTTTATATTTTTGACAAAATCAGATGAAAATATTGTACTCTCTAAAGAAATTAGGCCTGCCACATTTCAGATAGATACATCCAAAGTAGTGGTGGGATTCAATTATTTTTACTACAGGTTCTGTGCGTGTGGCTTGGTGGGTGTGGCAGGGGAAGGATACTGTAAAATCTCCAGTCAGAGGTGGTATTTGCTGGTTCTCTGAACTACTCAAAATTTCTACTACCGGTTCTCCAGAACTGGTCAGAACCTGCTGAATACCACCTCTGATCCAAAGACTTATTGGAATAAGTTTTGAAATAATATTCTAGATCAATTTTAGAGTATTAGGAATGTATTCTACTCTACATCACATCAGTCAGATTCTCCAGCAAAATTCCTAGAAAGAAAGTTTTTCTGAATATGTTGTCAGAATTTATTTAAAAAAACTTTTCCATTTGCTTTTCTGGAGGCCAGGTTAAGCATGTCCCTAAAGGATGACCAACAACTTCTTCTGTAACTTATTGTTCCATGTCATTTTTTTTTCTGGGAGGATAATAAAGTTTATCATGGTTGGCAAATATGGTCCATTATGATTATTCACTGGCTTCAACAATGGTGCAGGGCAAATTAGCGAAAGTAGATAGTTTCAGGGCAGGCCTTTGGAAAATGACAAATGGCTTTCCCTTATGAGAGTTACAACTTTGTGGTTTTTGATTGTTTGGATTTCTGGGATGCCCAAAGAACTGGCACAGTTGGTTGATAAATTAGAGTCTCTTAGAAAGGGGCAAGACTTGGTAGTGTCAGAGTTGTGGATTGGTGGCAATATTCTAGGTTAATTGGCAAAGACACTGAAAGTAGTTGGCACAGTGAAATATAATGCCACAGAAACTGACAAGAATCAGTACAAAGAAAGTGCCAGCGCTGAGAAAATTTATTTTTAAACTTAATACTTCACTCCTATATTTAGAGCAGGAAAGGTTCAGGAACTGCATGTAAGTATTCACCTGGCACCAATTCATTCACTGTCAAAAGTTTTAAACCTGTCCTGATTGTACAAAATTGCAAAGTAAGGGCAGCTATGCTTTAAAATGCTTGAGAGTCAAATTGTGGTCTTAGTTTTCTTGGTGGGGTAAGGAGTGGTGACCACACTGTGGTCTTAAGTTTACAGTGAAACATTCCATTAACACAAGTAAAGAGTTAAAGGCTGGCTACAAGCAGTAGAAAAGCCACTAAATCTGCAAAGCTCTTTGAAAAGCTACAAAGCATTTCAAAAGTGCCTGATTCAATTCACTGCTTCAAAGCAAATCATTGCTTTGATCCGTGAATCTGCTCACTAGTCATAACTATTGGTACATTCATTCTAAATAAATCCTAAAATTCATCTGTCAAAGAAGGCAACTGATTTCAAAATTATCGTGCCAAACTGTTGAAAAATTATCAAAGTAACCCCCCCACCCCCCCAAAAAATACAACACGCATCACCGATCCTGCAAGAATCATTAGGAAAAAAAGGCTTATTAGTGTGTGATCATTGCGAGAAGAAAAATGCTGGTTATTGATAGATGCATTCACTTAGTCTTCGGATCATTCTGGTATGAAGGCTGCCGCTCTGTGAATTAGAAAGAATTACTACTATTATCACTATAGTGTTTGGTTTGTCCATCACTAGCGTCCCTTAGAAGTTCTCAGGCAGAAGCTTTCAAACTCTGTTTGGGCAATAGGTCTGGTGTTAGTGTCAACATCTTCAGCCAATTATCAGAGCCCATTTGTCTATGGATGTCTGGTGTTGACATCTATCTCTTGACTTCTAGACTGAGAGGTTTGACCGGGCCACTAGTTTACTTTTGTGCAATGTATTGGAGATTCCATTTGGGTAGATTGAAAGAAAAGCTTTAAAATATAGCATGTTGGAGATCCATTGATATCAGAAAAAAATAAACATTTCCAAGAGACCTCTTGAGTCTGCTTGCTAAGAGAGAAAATAAGTCTTCTTGCCAGAGAGAACATTGCCAAGGGATTTCTCAAGAACCAATCCTCCCTGGGAGGATAGAGTGCCCGAAAATTTATCAGGAGCTTCTCATTCAAAAGACTGGTAAAAGCAGATAAGCTGTAAAGACATTTGTCCGCTAGTGTTAATACATTTCAGAAGCATTAATTCACAGGAGCACCTGGGCTGCTACACAGAATGCTTTGGTTCCTGAAGTCAACAAAGCAAGTCATCAGACCTGGCAAACTTCCTGCACTAATTGATTTTAAATTCCTGAGATTTCCTGCTGATACTGTAAGTAGTTCTCCTTCACTAATATGGAAAGATTTCCATGAAAGTTGAAATATCAATATAAATCCTTATGTAAGGAGGAATACTAATAGTAGTAATATGCTATGCCTTTCTATGGATAATTCACAGCAAAAAATAGGAAGCGGACTTAGCTCAAACATCCTATGGCTTGAAGTAATTTAGTAACATCTATACCAGCAGTAACCAAACAGAATTTCTCCATGTTTGTCAGAGGAACCTTCACAACTTGGAAATCAAAACATAATTTTGCACTTTCAAAGCATATGCTTTGCCCAAGATGTCTAAGCCTTTTCTTACATTCAAAATGAAGGAAAGCAGGATATTCCTGAAGATAAGAAAGTGTTTAGTAAAAGGAGGAATTATGAGTACAGCACTTTCTTTATAGGGTTGATGTAAAGCATGCTCTATTGTCCATTGTTCCATTGTATAGATGATTGTGTGTGTGTGTGCATATTATTCAAGCCCATAAGAATCTTGAAGAAATACTGTATATAGCAATCCTCAAATGATTTCAATAAAAAAAGACTAAACAAACAACATCATTATTATAAATGCAGTGAATATTGTTAGGGAATGAACCATTGGCATGCTTCTCTTGTTATATACGATTTTTATTTGAATGTAAGCAATGTAATAGAATGGCATATTCTTGAAAATACTTGTCTTAAAATTTTACAAATATTATGATAAAAGCAACTTTCAACTGAAATATTTGTGGGCCTACAGAAGATTTTGGAAAGAGAGGTGCTGTTCCCTAGCAATGGGTGTTACCCAACAAAATCCTCTGTTGCCCCATTTAACAGCCCTTTCCTTGGTTGATCTTTGTTGAAAGATTGAGTTATTCTCTAAGATGAAATTTTGAGTGTATTTCAGTGTGATATATAAGCTAGAATTGGATATTTTTCCTAACTGCATTTTCATTTCAATTCCAAAATACTTTTTGTAGAAAGAACTCTTGAGTTATTTATATGACATACAGATTTAGTTCAGTTTACATCCTTTTAAAAACCTTTAGTTTGAAGTTTTGAGTGCAAGGAAACCTATCAGTTAATTAGTTCAATCTCTAATACTAATCAAATGAACCACGTGTCAAATAAATAAATATATTTAATATATTTAATAAATTACATATTTAAGACAACAGAAAATGTTTGGGGGATTTTTTTCTAATTCCAAGAGTTTGGAAAATATTCCACTGTAGGAAGTAGTTAATATGCCATTGCTACATACAGGTAATACCCTTTACCAATATCGTATTCTCAGAGAATTGAGTATACATCACTATGCATGATAGCCACTCATAAGGGAAATTTCTGTTTTCTTATCAATCATATGCATAGAAATATTTAGAAATATTTGTTTCTTGCTCACCACTTTGTATTACAGTCTTCTCTATGGACTATCATTTGAAGTAATGAAACAACTCTCAGTCATTAGAGTAGTTGTCCACCAGGGGGAACCTTTTGATTACAACACAAGTGTAGTGTACCAAATTGAAGAGCTGGAGGCTCACCTGTGAATCCAGAAGGACAGTTGCACACATAACCTGATGCTTTATGGTAGCTGAACACTGAGGGTAGTTCTGGAATTTTTCCATACCAATTTGATCATGACACTCCCACAGAGACATGGATTACTGCTACATTCATTGATGCCTATTTCACAGTGAGAACCTATATACCCTGTGGTATTGAAAACAACGGAAAGAACGATAAATCATTGCCCTTATTTCTGATTGGGGGTTCTAGTGGTAACTTTGGAAGCAACAATGTGAAAGTATTAGAGCAGATGTGAAGGGCTTTAAAGGATGGTCAAGGAAGAGTTAAGAAAAGAAGAAAAGAAATTAGTTGTATATGCATTTGTTTGTGATACAATGTATGTCATAATTGGATGGGAATATGTCACATACAAAGGACATTTCCTTATGGCACCAGAACTTTGAATTGCACCCAAAAACCTACTAGTATACAATGCAGCACTAACAGCAAAGATACAATATAACATCTTTACAGCACCCAGTATTAGCTAATAGGCAGGTTGCTGAATTTTGTACCAACAGTATAATCTCCAAGTGATTCTCAAAGATAGTCCCACGTGGAGAGTGTTGCGGTAGCCCAAATGGGTAGTCATGAGGGCACAATAACAACTGCATTCAAGATCCTCCAACTCCAGGCAAGACTGCAACTGGCATACCAGTTGGGTTCCCCCTGCCCATTCAGCAGGAGTCCAGAAAGAGCACCCACACCAGGGGTGGGATTCTACCAGTTCTATCCGGTTCTATAGAACCCCTTGTTAACTTTCTAAGAAGTTCGGAGAAGAGGTAGTTGGAAGCAATCTCCGTTTGTTTTTTTCCACCCTTATTATATTCTTGGCAGACAGCCTAGACTTGCTGTCTCCAGAGCTTCTGAGGCTTTCTTAAAGGGGAAGGGTTGTTTTAAGATTTTTACATGCTGTTGGGAGGAAATACTTCCCTGGACAATCAGCACTTGGAAGAAATAATTGAATAATGAAGCAAAGCTTTTAGTGACAGGGAACCAAGATGAGTGACATTCAACAAGGCTTCTTGGCTAGCTAGAAAGATTAACATTCAAACGTGAGTTTACATACCCTTTCTGAGTTTTGGTCTAAAACTGGTTTTTGGTGAAGGTTAATCCTGTGTTTATTGATGGGGATAATTTTCCCTATTCAGCTTCAACAAGCAACAGTTACTGTTGTGATTTAATTATTTGTATTGTGTTTCAATTTTTCCTTGCCTCATGGTTTCTTTTTCTATTTGGGGAGGGGGTCTTCCTTCACTGCTTTAGTACTATCTGGCACTGTCCTTTTGGGATATACTTTTAAGAGGCAGGATGCAAGGTTGACACTGTTTTTTTTTACTGCCTTTCTGGGGGGCATGTGACCTTTCCTTAAATCTGGATGATTTCCTAAGGATATCTTGTGAGGTGAGTGAGACCAGCTGGTATTTTTAAGTGGTGCAAATGGATCTAAGGATTGCTTTTCCTGGGTCTGCTTTATCTGGAGAGCTTAAATGACCTCTCTACTAAAGGGTTTCACTTTATGAGCAAGAGTTGGCTGCTGATAGTTATCACTGCATTTTAAATATTTTCATTCCTCAAGGTGCTCTGGCACCCTGCCTGATTTGTAACTCCGGCTTGCAGGTCTTTTTAATCTAATGATTGGTATTTAGAGCAGCTTTTTGCAAGCAAAGAAGCTTTTTGTATTTTTGTACAGGTAATCCTTGACTTACAACAGTTCATTTAGTAACCATTCAAAGTTACAATAGCACTGAAAAAAGTGACTTATAACCATTTTTCACACTTATGACCATTGCAGTATCCCCACTGTCATGAGAGGTCAGGCGAGGAGAAGCGGCCCTTGACATGAATGATGTCGAGTTGGCCATGCCCAGCCCTCTGCAGCCCTCCCTGTAGCTCCTTGTAGCTGCCCGGGCCTCGCCCTGCCCTCTCCAGGGCTCCCCAGGCCTTGGAAACTGGCAAAAAACACTTGCTAGGCAACTGGCCATTAAGCAAGGACCTGGTCATTAACATTTGGTTTGCCAGTTACATGGCCACCTGGCCACACCCACCCCAGTCACATGACCACCTAGCCATGCCCAGCCAGCAAGCCACTCCCACCCCAGTCACATGACCACCAAGCCACACCCATAAATTAGGCCACGCCCACAGAACTGGTTGTTAAGAAATTTGAATCCCACCCCTGACCCACACACCCCGATCATGCAATTGCTCCTCAAGGATGTTTGTCCTTTAGGAAGTAGTACCACTATTCTATCTTGCTTAGGTTCCACAACTTCAGTAGCATCACCTACTCAGCCTGGGTTAGCAATGCATAACATGATGTTCTCTATTGTTCCTCTATTGGGGAGTCAATATTGCTTCCCAACTAATGGATGACCACTCCTAGTAGCTCCATGAGGATGCTATTGAAGTGGTGTTCTAATATCTAAGGGTCTGTCACAAGAAGAGGGTTCAATCTCTTCTCCAAGGCACCAGAAGGCAGAACAATGGATGGAAATTAATCCAGGAGAGAGCCAACCTATTTATTGTTCCTTGGTCATCCTACACAGCATACTTATAAGCCTGGTCTGCTTCTTTTTTTAAAATAATGTTAATAATGAGGGAGGCAAGGCTGTCTAAAGTCAAATCAGGTGCACAGTCCTTTATCACAGCACATTGATGAAAGTTACTGTTATATTCTCAAATTTGGGTTCTTTCCTTATTGAGAACAAGCATTCTCCCCCCCCAAAAAAAAGTCCCTTAAGAGCCAGAAAAATACTGATTCAGCAATTGAAACAAGCCAATATCATGTGGATGGTAAGTCTGGAGCCAAAATTGAAACAGGGGTGTACTTGGACGGCCCCTAAACTAAACACCATGTTTTACAAATTACAATTTGCAGTGCTATTGTATTAATCCACTACTACAAGACAAAATCTCAAGCATATTACAAGTTAGAGTGATATCTGTAGGAGAAGCAATAGCAGAACATAAGGGTAGAGTTAAAAGAGGAATCAGCCTAGAATCCCTAGGTAGCCACAACAAACTAAACAGGTGCGGACAGTTAGTTGAGAAGATTCCTGCCCATAAGCTTTCAGCAAGAAATCTATTCAATTGAAGCTTTATATGTGGACCTGGTCTTTCCTGCCTGACAATATCTGCATGTGGCCTGAATATAGTCAGAACCAGAGGTGGTATTCAGCAGGTTCTTGACCCAGTTCTGGAGAACCAGTAGCGGAAATTTTGAGTAGTTCAGAGAACCAGCAAATACCACCTCTGACTGCCGCCGTCCTCATCTATTCTCTGCCTCCCGAGTCCCAGCTGATCGGCTGGGTCTTCTTTTGTTGTCCTGCACTAGAGAACGTAGCTGGAAAACAGGTTATTGGGTGGGATTTTGCAGTAACCTTCCCCCAGGAGTGGAGAGGGAATGGAGATTTTACAGTATCCTTCCCCTGTCACGTCCACCAAGCCACAACCACCAAGCCTTGCCATGCCCACCAAGCCATGCCCACAGAACCGGTAGTAAAAATTTTGAATCTCACCACTGGGAAAAAGCCTGATTACAGAATATTCAAACCTATTAGTATTCCATACACATATTTGTGTTCTCTTTTCCTTAATGTGCACTATTTTTGATTACAGGAATGAAAGGCAGAAATGCAGTGCAGTTAGGACCCAACCCTATCTTAACACCTCACATGGCAGCCTCCCTTGTTTGTTTTATAACTTCCCCAAATGTCTTCCAAAGGAATGGTATGCTGAGATCCAGTGAGACTGGTGCTACTTATTGTGGCAACCTTTTCTTCTTACTACATTTAGAATCATCTTACAATTTCAGACGCTCCTTTATATTTAGTTAAGAAACACATTGCTCTTTTTAACCCAATATGGTGTCCTTTTTCAATAAATCCAAGTAATTAATAATCCACAAAGAGCTTACCAGAAAGACAATTGAGGCCACAGTTCTAAAATTAGTGAGATAATCACAGGAATTCTATGAAGGTGCCAGAAAGAAGGAAGGGAAGAAGGTGTTTAAAATCAAGTTTTTATTTTTGTGTGTTTTGATTTTTAAAGGCGACTTTAACACCCTTAATACTAAAGGGCTAAGCTTTAAGCTTGATACTATTGCCAACATTTTGCAGAATCATCAGAATGGGCTAAGATGGATCCAAGTTCAGGGTCTACTTTATCCTTATTTGTTGCAAGCAGCAGTAAAATGAATGCTGTATGCTAAATCAGGATATGGAACATGTATTCTAAATATTTTTTGGAATCTAGTTCAGGCTTCTATATTGCTTAAGTTGAGGAATTGTTTAATTGTGTCTGCTTGCTTTACACAAGGTATATACCACTGTTACAGAAATGCATGTTTTTTTTTCACTTTAATAAAACAGAAAAAAAATAAGACAAAATTGTAAAAATAATAAAAATGAGAAAAAGAGAAGAATTCCACCCCCCTCATGTATATAAGAGCTGATCATAGATGTGTCCCTGTGTGTGTGTATGATGTTTTTAAAACAAAACAAAACAAAACACTCAATTCAGCAAAAGATAACCAGCAGAGATGCATCATTGTAAAATAATGCAGAGCTTACCTGGCCAGCAGTGACACATGTAACTCTCTGTGGTATCTTCACAGGTACCATTATTATGACACGGATGTGACCAGCAGAAGGGAACACGTATTTCACAGTGTAGACCCATGTATCCATTGCCTGTGCAATTGCAGCTATATCTGCATTGCAATAAAAGAAACACAGACATATTTTTTCGGTCCATACTTCTGGATCTGAACAATTGTGCAGTCTTCTCTATCCTGAGGGAAGAAACCCTGCATGGCTTAGCAATGGGTCTCTAGAAATGATCTAATGCAGGAGCAGGGAACATATTTTGCTCCGTAGGTCTATGTTACACTGCTTAGATGGCTGGTTTGGGGCGTTGCAATGTGTTTATATTTAAGGTGTTACAAGCCACCCTTATTCACTGTTCTGAAGCATCACTTTAAAACAATACAAATAAACAGTAATAAAATTAAAAGATAGGCAGTCTTTTCCCACTGTTTTATTCTGTTCAAGATGCCTAAGCCTTTTCCTACATTCAAAATGAAGGAAAGCAGGACATGCCTGAAGATAAGGAAGTGTTTAGAAAAAGGAGGAATTATGAGTACAGCACTTTCTTTATAGGGTTGATGTAAAGCATGCTCTATTGTCCATTGTTCCATTGTATAGATGATTGTGTGTGTGTGTGTGCACATTATTCAAGCCCATAAGAATCCTGATGAAATATATAGCATTCCTCAAATGATTTCAGTAAAAAAAGACTAAACAAACAGTGTGATTATTATAAATGCAGTGAACATTGTTAGGGAATGAACCACTGGCATGCTTTTCTTGTTATATACGATTTTTATTTGAATGTAAGTACTGTAATAGCTTTTCCCATTGTTTTATTCTGTTCCCACCATCTCTCAGTTGTCAGGAGAGGGGCAGATTAGTCTTGCCAAAATGATTTCAAAATTAGGAAGGAATTTTGGGGCTACAAGTTACTGACCTTTGTTTTAATGGCTGTTTATTGGTAAAGCAAGAGTCTCGTTTCCCTGAAGATTTCCCAGCTAAGATATTAATTCTCTTTTTTAAAATCCTGTTTTCTTTAGCTAATCTTTTCCAGCACCACTGAGAAACCTGCATTTTTCTTCTTCTTTTTTTCATTTTACCTCATTTTTACATTCAACTGTGATGGGTCGCTTCGAAGGTAGATTCTTTGTAATCATCTTTAATGCTTAAGTGAAACTTTTTCCTTGTTTTACCAGTCATTCAAAGCTGAAATGAAACTGAGAACTCTAGTTTTATTTATTTTATTTTTTTCATATTTGTATTTCTAGGCATATTCCTGAATTTGCATCTCATTATCTACAAACATAATCCTTCCTCATTGATCCAACTTCAAGACTAGGCTGAAAGCAAAGCTACTGCTGAGACTAGCAGAATTCTCCTGAGACAATTTGGGGCTTTCATCTATTCCAATTTCCATAAAAATGTTCATTAAAACAATACACTGCAGTACGTAAAATTAAGGTAGGATATATATTCTTCTGTGACAGAGTGGGAGATTATATATGTAGGTCAGACTTCAGGAAAAGATTGACAGGAAAGAAAACTTCTTCATTTAACTGAAAATGCTCATTCAATGGATCCTTTTGAATACAAGGGTTGTACATTTGAATGCTTTGGGACTGAAAAATTTGAAAAACATGGAGGACCAGATCAGACAATCCTGTTTTTCTAAACAAAGCCTTTTAGGATTTAAGAAATAGTTATATTATATATATGTATGTATGTATGTATGTATGTATGTATGTATGTATGTATGTATGTATATATGTATGTATGTATATGTGTGTGTGTGTGTGTGTGTGTGTGTGTGTATGTGTGTGTATATATATGTGTATATAAAGACGAACACAATACAGAAGCCTGATGATGGCAGATGAGATTCTGGCGAAACGTTGCTACAACTTTTACAGCACAACTACAATGACGTGGGAAAATACCCGAACAAAGCTGAATACCATACATGTAAGTACCCGCGAAAACTTAAGAAAACATATATGTGTGTGTGTGTGTGTGTGTGTGTGTGTGTGTGTGTATATACACATACATACAGTATATCTTATGCAAATATATTTAAACTAAAATTGTTTAGTTTTCTGCAACAGTGAAAGTCATGCTATGATTATTTATATCATATTAACTTGGCTTTCTTGGAATAGCTATGTTTTGTCTTGTCTTGTGTGTGTGTGTGTGTGTGTGTGTGTGTGTGTGTGTAATTCCATTGAATTTATGTGGTATTATGGTCTGTCTGCTGCATCTGTGGTTTTATATGCATAAGCATTTGCACAGTTGTAATTAAAAACTGTGATGCAGTTTTTAATTGTTGCAGAGGAAAATACATTCACCCTTACTAGTAGCAGAACTGAAATATGTAATGTAATGTACTTTGTGCAATACTATTAAAGATAGATAAAGTTATACTGAAGAAATTACTCTCTGGAACAGTGGTAAAAGACATCCTGTATATTATATGTTGTCTGTTATATATAATATAATAGTTATATATTACTATATATTACTATTATATGTTCTCGGTTATATATTATATGTTCTCGGTTATATGTTCTATGTATATAACCCTGTTATATATATAGAACACCTGCAAATAAAGAGCACCATAAAATATTCAAGAACGCTTTGCTGCATTTTGCGTAGTGCCTACATGAAACTTTTTTGGCAATTAATGCTTGATATTTTCTGCATGAGTTCACCAGGGGATTTTGGGACTAGTTTAATGAGTCAAAACCAATAAAGGAGAATATTCACAAGAGTCAAAATACTGAATTGGCCATGGAATCTGAGTGGTGTAGTGGTCTAGAGGTGGAACTCTCACCTCACAATCAGGAATCTGTGAATTCGATCTTAGGTAACGGCAGATATTTCTCTCTTTGGACACAATGAGTAAATATCAAGTGCGAACTCTGCATTGGTAACAGGAAGGGCATCCGGCCAGTAAGCACTCTGCTCCATTCAGTTGCCCTGACTCCATCCCGATGCAGGGGATCATGGGGTCATTAAAAGACCCCCCAAAATATGGCCATGGATAAAGCTGCATGTTTTTTATCTGCTAAGAGCAGAAAACCCTGACTTTGTCACCAGAACCATTACTTCAGTAGACAGCTTGATTATCTCCCTCATACAGCAGCATAAATAAAAGCTATTGTTTATTATAACCAGAAAAGGGAACCTTATCTCAATGTGATGTCTGGTCTCTTCTGATAGGACAATGTACTGATTTACAGTTTGAAGCTTGAATTCCCAATGGGACCCTACCTTTATTAAAACCATCATTTCTATTTTGGGCATTGAGGTTCTCCTTATTTATGTAATTACATTGGCACTCACACAAACACCCTCCCACACACAAGAGGAAGAGAAGGAAAGGAATCATTAGGATAAATTTCAGCTTTGTGCAATGCTATTTTCGAGGGAAACGTGGCAAGAAGGGAGGTAAACAATGGGTTCAGGTTTTGAAAAGTGCCTTGATTATTTCAATTTAAAATGTGTTCTTGATTATAAAGCAGCAATATTTGTTTTTTAAAAAATGCAGCTCCATATTCATTGATAGATGGGGTAAACATGGATTTGAGAATTTGGGCTATATTAATACTGCCTACAGGTGGCATGTTACAGATTTAATTATTTTTCCATATTAACAAAAAAAATCAGGTAGAGTATCCTAAGATTTTATGCCGCTATAAACAACCAGCTGCAAGTTCTGTACTAGAATTCATTTTTCCACAGTTCAGCATTACATTATTGTATAATTGGAGTTCTTTTAACTTGGAATCTGTATGTTGACAAAGATGAAATTGAGAGTAGCACCATGTTCCAAATTCAAAAGGAGGAATTTTTTTCCAAGCATGAGGGTTCCGTTGTGTCACACCTTTCAGCAAATTTATTTGTTTATTTAAGAAATTTATATTGCCACCTATTCTCACATGGCAACTCAAGGCAGCTTACAAATCCTTGGATAAGCTGTACCTATTCCTGGAGTGATGCAGCTTCTGCTAAGCAATACCAGGAAAAGAAGTATTTAGGTAAGTACCCTCATGCTCAGAATCACCTTTTCTCCTTTGAAACTGGATCCATTCACAGTAAGGATCAGTGCCCTTTCTAAAGTTTCTTTTGAGTTGAACTCAAGTCCTGTTGATTTCATGGACGCATCCATATTGTCTTCCTGATGGCTCTATGGAAATGGTTCTCTGTTATCTCCTTTCAGAACAGTTGTTGGCTATCAAGTCTAAAACTACAGTCCTGGCATTTCTTAGTCAAGTCCCCAATGGTTTTCAAGTTCAGTGAAGTTGAGCCAGCTGTTGCATTTACACCATCTGCAGCTGGCTTAATTCAAGCCAGTTTACGCCTTCCTCTATTAATTATTCCAATTTCATGATTGTAGCCTAAACTCAATCTCCCTCCCCCTGTTGTTAGACCCAACTGCTTCTTGTCAGAGTTTTAGAGTTTTATTTATTAAGTAATTCATGAGAATGTTTCCTGTGATACATATTGCATATTAAGCCAATATTCATTGTAACATTGATAACATTGCAAATACGATGAAATAATCCCTATTCAAACTGAAAGAGACCTAATGAATTAAACTGTTGGGTCTAAATTATACAGTAGATCTTAAATAGATAAAATGGATCTTAAATACTAAAACTGTTGAAATAAGAATAAGGTTAGTTTGGGGTTTTGTTTTGTTTTAGAATAGAATAGAATGAATGAGCTGGAAGGGATCTTGGAAGTCTTCCAGTCCCGCCTCCTTCTCAATACCATTTTATACCATTTTAGATTTTTATTTCTGGCTTTACAGGTAGTCCAGAATTGAGTCCAAATTTTCTGTTGCTGAGACATTTGTTAAGTGAGTTTTGCCACCTTTCTTGTGACAATAGTTAAGTGAATCACTATGGTTGTTAAGTTAATAACATAGTTGTTAAGTGAATCTGGCCTCCCCCTTGATTTTGCTGGTCAGAAGATTGCAAAAGGTGATCACATGACCACAGGACACTGCAACCATCATAAATATGAGTCAGTTGTCAAGCGTCTGAGTTTTGATCACACAGCCATGGGGATGCAACAGTTGTAAGTAGGAAAATTGGTCATAAGTCACTTTTTTCCAATACTGTTTTAATTTTGAACTGTTGTAAGTTGAGGACTACCTGTATTTTCTAATTCATCCAAATTCCAGTTGCAATTAGTCGATCAAACTCCAGTCACAAAATCCACATGTTTATCTACATAACTGACAGGTGTTTTCAGAAAGTTGAGTGGAACAAAAAAAAAAAAAGTACTTGTCATCTACTGTAAACAAGTCATCCAATATGTAAGAAGACATACCCATTGATAGAATCTACGCACTGCCCCCCCATTGAGGCATGGTTGACTTACACATTCATCATTGTTGATGGCACAGTGATCACCAAGGAAGCCAAGGGGGCAGGAACAGTAATAGCCACCTAGAGTATCATGACAGGCACGATCATTCAGACAAAGTTCTGACAAACATTCATTGATTTCTAGTTCACAGTTGATACCTGCAGTGAAAGTTGAATTTGAAGACATGTCAAAAGTGCCTGGTCTGAAAATAGATGACAATTTATAGCCTTATACAATGATTTGAAACTCTTTTGGTTCCCAAATTTTACAATGATTATTTTTTGTTTCCTATCTGAGGGAAGAAGCAGAAATCTAGATTTTAATGAGGACAAAAAACAGAGCTCTCATTTTCTAACACTGTTGTCTGTAGAGTCCAGTCACTGAACTTACTTCCTCAGAGACAGCTTTAAAATATAACAATATTCTATCCAAAGAACGTTCTCCGCTAAGGTTCTGAAAGTTCTGTGAACTGACCAGGTTCACGCAATATTTTAAGGGAGATCCACAAGGAGGACCAACAACAGCAAAATGCTGGGTCTGATCACAAAATTAAGTTCCTCCACTTTTTCATGCATGTTGCATGCATGTATAAAGGGGTGGGCTTTGGTTGGTTAGTTATGTCCAAGTTTTCCACATCGTTTATCTGCTCCAAAGAAATCCCTGTATGCAGGTCAAAATGTATCAAATGTGTTTGATTCTTGGCATGTATTAGATCCTTAGCATGTATCTTAGATTTTTAGCAGAAAACATTCATTGTGGCACAGATATAAACAAGGGTAGTAACCTAGTTTTCTACATATTATGTGAAAGCTTCAGCTGACCAAAAACAGCAAAGCCCTTCTCATGATAATAATGGCTTATTGGATTGTGACTTGGAAGATAACAGGATTATATTGTAAAGAGCATTAATGTATCCTTGAAATGAATGATGGAAATTATACATTGTGTATGTATAAAACTGTAAAAAAAAGGAGAAGGATGTAATAGATCTGAATTTAGGTAGTCTGATCTTATATAGTAAAGCTGATGAGCGCCTACAGCGAAGTAAAGGATTTAGATTTAATTCTGAATGATGATCTAAAATGCATGTCAAAAAATATGAGAAAAATTAGGGAAGTACCCTAATTTTTTTTTTACTAAAGGCATATTTCTACAATCCATGTTTAACCAATGTGTTGATTCATTTGACTTTATCAAACAAAAAATGTTACTGACTATAAGATTATAAGATTTAATATTTAGAATTCTTTGTGGGGTTTTTTTAATAGACAATATTTAAATGTATTACTGTGTGTCACCACTATGTATAAGTTTACTAAAAGACAACTTGCTATTGTATAATAGTTAAAGGTGCTAGACAAGGACTACTAGACCCATGTTCTAGTCTTCCCTTAAGGATGAATCAATTGAATGGGAGATATAAAAACATCCCAGAAGAAGGTACTGGCAAACAACTTCTGAAATGTTGCAAAAAGACCTGCATGGATCTGTCAGGCAGATCAAAATTTTTGCTCTTTAGTAAGTCAACTGAAACACACATTAATGGCTGTGGTGGTGCAATGGTTAAAATGCAGAATTGCAGGCTAATTTTGCCCATGCCCAGGGCAAATCCTGACCAGCTCAAGGTTGACTCTGCCTTCCTTCTTTTTCAGGTCAGTAAAATGAAGACCCAGTTTGTTGGGGGCAATACAGTATGCTGACACTGTAAACTGCTTAGAGAGAGCTGTAAATATGCTGATTAATTTAGAGAAAGTGTATGATAAAGTTAATTGACTCAAGGTATGGAATATTTTACATGATATTGAGTTACAGTATTTTATGACTGCAATGCAAGGAATATTAGAGAAGCAAAGGACATGTGAGAATAAGCTGAATGCTTGGTTCAGCATTGAACTGGGATAAGATAAAGATGGGTGATGTCTCATTGATTTTTTTAATGAACATGGATAAGAATATTTGTGCCAATATTATTAGTGTGTGGGTTGGTGATGTGGATATATGTCTAAGCCACAAATCCCCAATGATTTTGCTGCAGATGTCAGATTGTTTATATGATGCAATAAGCTGTGTGAATCTAAAAAAAATTATTAAAGACCAAAGTAGTTGTATTTGACAAGAGAAATAGAGTGAATAATTACAAGTTACACATACATTGTGAAAAACTAGAGCAAGTAGATGAATTTTGTACCTTGGTAAAATGCTTACTTAAGATGAAAGATAGGAAGAAATTTTAAGATATGCAAACACTAATAGAAAAGCAGTATTATGTGATTTCTTGCAAGAAATGAATATTTATCAAATGAAGCAACAATTGCTATGTATAATAATGTTCTTCAGCTCACTTTGTTATATGCAAATGAGAATTGAGTATGCCAGGAAAAATTGAGTAAGGTGGGAGTGGGATGCTTAACAAGTGTATGTGATAAAACTAGATGTGATAAGGTTAGGACTGAGTCAATGCTGAATTAATGTGGACTCAGAACAGAAGTGAGTGGTGAAAGAAATGCATTAAGATGGTCTGGTGAGCGAGAGAATATTGACTTGCAAAATAAACACATGGAGGAAGAGTGAACTTATTGAGAAGGAAAAGCAAAGTTAGTGAAATCCTGAAAAAAAGAGGTTAGAAGTTTAAAAAAATAGCAGGCAATGCATGATGTGGTATGAATGAAATGGAAGCAATGATTTTTGTTGTGAAAAAAAATAATGAGGAAGCATTGTGAAAAGACTTGATGTAAACTACTTTTAACAATGTTTCTTTCCTTATCTAATGTCTTAATTTATTCTGCTATTTCTTACTTCTTTTCTGATTCTGCATAATATTGCTTACCAGAGGTGATATTCAGCAGGTTCTGACCAGTTCTAGAGAACCAGTAGCGGAAATTTTGAGTAATTCAGAGAATCGGCCAATACCACCTCTGACTGGAGATTTTACAGTATCCTTCCCCTGCCATGCCCACCAAGCCATGCCCACAGAACCGGTAGTAAAAAAAATTGAATCCCACCACTGCTGCTTAACCTAAAAGGGAGTAGTGTGTGTGTGTGTGTTATGCATTTTCATTTCCCTCCTTGAATAACAAGTTGTTTTATCTACTCACAATTGAATATTTTTTTCAAACAAACAACAATCCAGATCTTTAAATTCAAACTGCTGAAATAACCCAAGAGGCCACTTGGATTTGACCATTATTCTTTATATAAATTGCTTGACATGTAATTTAAGATGCTAATGGGTTAATCCTTCTTATGTCTATTTTCGTGAAGAGCTGTGCTCTTTTTCAGGCATTTGGTTGTGCTGTTTGTTTTTCTAGTAATGCAAACAACAGGAAACAGGACACCAGCTTTTGGTATCAAGCTATCACATTTAGATTTGCTACAAATATCAACATTTATCACTAAATATAGTAAACTTTTATCAACATGTATCACTGAATATAGTAAACTTTGGCTACTTAATAGGATATATTTGTCTGTTTGTACCAAAAAGTTGCATCAGGCCTGGTTTGTAAATATTTGGCATTTTTCAACAAATATGATTTTTAAAAGTTGCATCAGTCCTGGTTTCATCATGGCTGTTTCCTTGGTATAACTACCGTATTTGCCGGCGTATAAGACGACTTTTTTGCCCTGAAAAACATGCCTCCAAGTGGGGGGGTCGTCTTATACGCCGGGAGGACTCCGACTCCCACTTCGAGCTTGAGTTGCAGCCGGGAGGGAGGCTGGGGGGGGAGCGGTGTGTGTGTGTGTGTGTGTGTGTGTGTCACTCGCCACGCGCTGCGCAACCTTTCCCCCTCTTCCTTCCTTAGCGGTGTGGGGAGGAGAGGATTCGAAGATCCTCACGTGCGGCGTACTTTTCTTTTTCTTTTTTTCTTTTTGCACGCAGGTTTTGCATGCGGGCGGCTGTAGGTTAAGGATGGGGGAGCCCCCGGGTGGGTTATCAGGTTTTACGGTGCTTCCAACATGTGCGAACGGTGGGAGAGCGGAGAAGAGAGCGAGCGAGCGCCCCGCTGTGTGAAATCCTGCCGTCAAAGCAACACTGGGGGAGGCAGGGTATAAATTTACCAGGTTAATGTAGCAATGGTGATTAATGCCCAGAACATTGTTTGCGGGTATTGGGGTGTGTGTGTGTGTGTGGTGGTGGTGAGGAGAGGTTGTCCTTTGAATGCGGAAAAGTAGGTGTGACCTTGTGTAGGAAAATAAAGAGATCCTTTTTAGCGTGTTTGGCTTCTTTGCCTCCCCTCGTTCGTTTTGACGTGGAGATAATGGCCTTCGGGCGGGAGGGGAAGAAAACGGTAGCTGGATCATTTCAAATTTCACTTACTCTCCTGCCTCACTTCAATATGTCTGAGCGACTCCAGATACTGGAAGACTTTTTGAATGAAAGTGTTACCTCCATTTTTTTTTTTAAAGAGGGCCACTTGGGGAAAAAAAAAAGATTCTAAGGAATTCCTTGTTTCTTGATTAAAGAGAAGGCATTGAATATACTGTTCCTTGGCAGCCTTTTCAGTGTCCGGGTTTTTGGTGTGTGTGTGTGTGTGTGAGAGAGAGAGAGAGAGAGAGAGAGAGAGAGAGAGAGAGATCAGCTGTATTGAGAAGAGAACGTTTCCTGTATTCTCATTTTATTTACAACATATTTTACGCTTAATGGTAAGCAATGAAAAATATTTTTAAAACTCATTTCTAAACTCCATAGCTATTTGCATATTCTTGGTTCAAAATTGGATTAGCTCATTTCAAAATTGTCCAAAGCAGAAAAGTGCGTCAAAAAAAAAAAGTGCAAAAGTGGAAGGTGTGTGGAAGAGGGGGTAGTCTTATACGGCGAGTATATAACAAACTCTATATTTTGAGTGGAAATGTTGGGGGGTCGTCTTATACGCCCAGTCGTCTTATACGCCGGCAAATACGGTAGCTAATGAATTCCATTAAGTCAGCTATTCCAACCATACCATAAGGCAGAGTGAAGCATCTGTCTCAAGTGACATCCCTGGTAGTTTCTGGACAATCCTTCTGAGTTCCCGCCTGTAGAGTACAGCTACATCAGTGATGGGATTCAAATACTGTTGCCACCGGTTCGGTGGGCTCGCTTTGCACGCATGCACACACTTGGCGTACATGTGTGCACCAAATGCACACTTTGCACAGGCGCAGAGGTGTTTGTGCAGGCGCAGAGGCATTCTTACTCACCTCCT